CTCGGGCAAAGTAAGTTCCGGGTCCAAATATTTTGGCCAGACATATATAAGGAAATTCTGTGCTTCATGTCCAGAATGTTAGCTTCCTACCCCTTGGGAAATGAAAAAAAAAAGCCTCTTTGGTCCATCTATGAGTGACAGACATTCCATTTGAATGGCTTGGTAGATTTGGTGGGACCTCTTGAAAATTCACAGCTGGGTACAAATATATTCTGGCTGTTATGGACTATGCTCCCTCTTCCTGTGAGGCAGTGCTTCTCTCATCTCTGATAAAAAAAAGAAAGAAAAACCATTGCCATGAAAGTTTTTTGCTCTGGTAGAGGTGCCATGGAAACTATTACAGGCCAAGGGACTAATTGTACGTCTCAGACTTTAGTAGAGTTACAATGGGCACTGAAAATCAAAATTTTTCAACCTCTATTTGCCACTCCCCCATGAAAAGTCTGGTGGAATAATTCAATAAGACCTTGGGGACTAGGCTGTGAAAATTCACTGTCACTGTGTGCACCATTAGCATCAACTATTTTCTTCACTTTTATCTATGGTTCAGGAGGCAAAAGTTCTTGCCTTTTCAATCCCTATAGCACAGGCGTCCCTGGGAAATTTTAGATGTCATACAAGAGATGATGTGGAAATAAGCCCTCCTCCCTCCCTACCCCTCCTACCCCTCACCCCCTGCCCTGCACCACAGCTGAAAACTTGGTCTTATTTTCTTGAAATCTTCGGAGAGATTCAAAGAGTTTGGCTCAAACACCAAAAAGAAATTATGTACCCATTGTGTATAGGAGCTGCACACAAGAAGCACACATCTCTGGGACTTTAATCCTGCAGACAAAGTTTTTGTTCCTCAAGTTCTAGTTTGAAGTTAATGGTCCAATGGCAAGGATGATAAAAAGTGAACCAGCAAGTATGGAGAGTAAACTATGATATCCAATATCTAGAAATATCTGCAAATATATCATGTGAGCATTATTAAAACCCTGGAATGATTGGGAACATCTGTTTCATAGTATCATAGTACTTAGGGTTGGAAGGGACCTAAACAGATCATCAGGTCTGGCCCCCTCCCCAGGCAGGAACGGGTGCCGGGGTCATATCACCCCAGCTAAATACCTGTTCAGCCTTCTCTTGAAGACCCCTAAAGTAGGAGAGAGTACCACCTCACTTGGGAACCCATTCCAGAGCCTGGCATTTCTAACTGTAAAGTAATGTCTCCTGATGTCTAGCCTGAACCTTCTCTCTAACAATTTGTGGCCATTATTCCTAGTAACCCCAGATGGTGCCTAGGGGAACAGAGCCTCCCCCAATTCCCGCTGGTCCCCCCTGGTGAGTTTGTAATCTGTTTATAGCTGCCTAACCCCCAGAGCCTGATGCAGGCCTACAGGCACCTGCAACTCTATGATCTGAAATGGTTCCGAACCGGTCTCACCCATGAGTAGAGAACTTGGGCCCAGCTATTCACTTGTCCAAGGTATTTTCACTAGGCCCAAGATGAATCCATTTATTGGCCCCAAATCTAGTCTGAACCTATATGAAGACTGCTTTCCCAGAGGCTGAGAGATATGATCATGCAAGAGTAACAATAAATATTGAACCATGAGATGACTGAATAGTCTGATAGTAACCTGAAGAGTCAAATCATATTTGTACCAAAACTGAATGGGACCATTTGTTTTGACCTAAAATTTGAGGAAGCCAGTGCTTTGTCCGCATTCAATACATATCCCATCTCATGGGTCAGTGAATTACTGGATTTATTGGAGGAAGCAAGATATGTTACTATCCTATATCTGACCAGTGGATATTGACAGATCACTCTCAGGAGTTAGAAAGACTTTCTGGAGTCTTGGGAAAAGATTGGCTTTCCAACCCCATTTAGCTTTTACCAGTTTTAAACAATACTGTTTGGATTGAATGAGGTCCTTGTTATTAGGGCTGCTTGAAGCTTTGAGTGCTGATTCAGTTCAGAGGAGACTTGGCCTGATTTGGTGGATGAATCTCCAAATTCGAATTGAATCAGGAGACCAATGAAAAGGTCTGAATTGATTTGGAAAAGATTCGCAGAGCTTCAGAGATTCAGGCAATCCCCGCTCGTTGCAGCAGGGAGCTGGACAGGGGAACATGGGGGGGACCCCTGCCAGGCCCCATCCACTGCCTGCTCTCCCAGCCTCCCTGACCACCCCCCGCCCCCTGCCTGCTCTCCTCTCCCAGGCCCCACCCCCCATGGCTGCCCCGCCTCCCCCAGCTCCTGGCCCTTTAAAAAAAAAAAGCCCCCACTCACCAGCTGGTGCAGCAGCCTCAGGGCTTCTGGGGGATCATGGCAGAGCTTGCCATACAGCATGGTGCAGTGGGGGCAGCAGGGATCACCCCCACTGCCTGGCAAGAGCCAGAGAGTCAGGGCTTTTTTTTTTTAAATGGCTGGGAGCTGGGGCAGGCAGGGCAGCCATGGGGGGGGGGGGGGGGGGGGGGGTGGGGGGGGGTGCTGGGAGAGCAGGTGAGGGTTGGGAGCTTGTGGCAGAGCCCCCCACATTGTGTGGGGCAGTGGGAGGCAGTGGGGATCACCCTTCCCCCCCATCTGGCGATAGCCAGTGAGTGGAGGCTTTGTTTTTTCAAAGAGCCGGGAGCTGGGAGAGCAGGCCGGGCAGCCATTGAGATGGGGCTGATTCAGAGATTCAGTCGATTTGGCTGCAGCTGAATCTCCAAATCATATCACTGTCCCCCAAATTGGCTGAATCCAAATCTGAAGTGAATACTAGCTGCTTCAAACAGGCCTACTGGTTATATTCCATAAACTCATGGGCCAAGTCTTTTACCCAAATCTGGTTTATGCTGCTGCCTGTTTAGGTGATGTGGTCATCTACAGTCACATTTGGACTGACCACCTAAACCATGTAATCTGCATTCTCAGTCATTCAAGGAAGTGGACCTAAAGCCAAATTGTTTCAAGTGCCACTTTCACAAAAGGGAAATTACTTATCTTGGGTACACTTTGAGATTGACAGGGTACCTGCCTTATAAATATTCATGACACCAGTTTCAGTCTCAAAGAGATAAGTGTAATGTTATCTGGGGCTACTGGGATATTATTGACAATGTATAAATTTATACCTATAATTCAGCTATCACAATCTGTGCCTGTCAACTTCCTGAGGATGATCAATCATGGGTGATTCTGTAGACCAAAGTCTGTTTACAACAGAAATTGGTTTTATATGGCCTATTTTTTTTACTTCTGACTGACTGTATCTACACGAGACTCTGACTGTTCAGTAGCTTGTTACTACTGCACAGTAGTGTCACATGGCAGGAAGCATGATGTGCTGCTACTGCACAGTAGTAATGAGTTGCTGAAGTGTACAGTCAGAATTACCTAAAAGCTATTCAGTGACGCTGCTGTGCAGTAACTCATTACTGTGCAGTCATTTAGTACTTGTTTATATAAGTACTAAGTGACTGTGCAGTAATGACTGCACAGTCAGTGTCTCATATAGATGCAGCCACTGACACCTTAACTATATAGCTTAGCATGATCTTGTCCCAGATGGTAAATGTGGAAGAGCACCCAACTGGAAAGAGAGTGTTAGTCCATGGAAGTACTTTGCTATTTCTTGCTGGCTGCACTTTTGCCCTTAGTTACTGATCAAACTCCCCTCCCAAGGAAGTCTTGAGGTCTTGAGGGTGCATGTATAATGAAGTAGAGCAGTTTTCCTCTGATAAGAAAGCAGCTAAAGAGCTGGAACAGAGCTTTCTAGTTCCATAGTGCTTTAACTACAGTCAAGGCCAGACCTGGCTTGACTCCAAGTAGCCATCCCTAATACAAAGACAACTGGCCAAGACCACCAATAGGATGCAAGACTGAGGGGATACACTGAACCCAACTCCACACACACATATGGTCACAAAGACCTTTTAATGTCCTTGAGCATTCCCCACCTCAGGAGTTGTAGACCACATGCTAAAACCATTTTCTGAAAATACCTTATAACCTGACAACTATACTGATACAGTTACCATGCACAGGGACTTTTCTCTCTTCTCTTTAGAGTGTCATGCTGAAACTTTCTACTCACTTTATCCTGGGTTGGATAACCAGCTGCATGTCCTAGATCATCAGAATACACCAAATACTTACCTTTGTAGCCACTATGTGAGGGGCCCTATAGTGCCTTCCAATACTACAAAGCCATGTAATTATAATTTTTAACATTTTCTAATAACTTTTTAAATCTGTTCTTAGAAAGAGGTAACTTGGGAGGGAAGACCAGGACATGAACACTGTGATAGCTGAGGGATAATTCCCTGGCCAGCCTAAGCAACCAGGAAGCACTGAGAGTAGCTATTGGAACTGTAGCCAGCACACTTTTACACCCAGTGGTTGTGTCTACACATGAAATTAATTCAAAGCAATAAATGCTGGTATAGTTCACGTCAGATTTTATTCCTCCTAGGCACCACATTTACGTGTGCGCCTGATTCTGCAGCATGTTGAACCAGAGCAGTACAGCTCTGGCTGGCAGGGGGCCCCAGGAGTCAGCCTGCCAGCCAGGGCTGCTCTGACCCTGCTCAATATGCTGCAGAGGGGTTGGCTAGGGCAATGGGTGCTACAGTGCAGGACTAGTTGGAAGGCAACCCCACCCTGTAGCACCCTGATGACGCAGCCAGCTCCAGTCAGCATCTACACGTGTGTTGTGGTGAAGTAAATAACTTGCATTGGGCAGTACTATCCTAGTTAATTAGTTTACTCTGACCAAATAGCACCACACATGTAGCAGCTGACACTTTACTACGGAGCTAATTAGTCAGCCCCAGAGTAAATGTCTCATGTAGATGTACCCAGTTAGAGCCAAACGTATATGATAGATTTTAATGTAGTAAATCAAATGATAAAGATTGTCAGAATGAAAGCACAGATGGGTTCATGTTGCACACAAAATCTAAAAGAGCATATATTAAAACTCTTAACCTTTAGAAATGAGCAATCCAAGTAATTCCATTCTTACCTGCAGAGGTCTTTACAATTTCTGAAGTGTTTCTGAGACCCATGAAGTCAAACTGATAGAGTCTCCAAGACTTCTGGTCAGCAGCTTCAACAGAATTTTTTCTCCATCTGTAAATCATTTCTTCTTTAGGATAGCCATCTGTAAATTAAAAAAAATATTACCTGTTATAAATAAATGTTAGAAAGCAGTATAATAGTTTAAATTTATGGAAAGTTGTGAGTTTTTAAACCCTTAAACCATCTGCTCCTTATTCCCTCCTCTCCTCCCTTAACTGTATTGATATGATTCAGCAATAGAGAGGTTTTATTTTTGGGCATAGTAAAAATAGCTTATATCCTAGCAAGACTGAAAAGAATTGCTACAAACACCCATAGACTTCTATATAGATAGAAGTCTACAGGAGAAGTGAAGAAAATAAAAACAAAAGCTGGTAAATATTTTTCTGTCCAGTCATTGTTTTAAAATGAGAAGTTTTGTCTAAATTAAGGGTTTGAAGACAAAATGCATTTCTCAGGATTTTTTTTCATTAAAAAGTACTCAAACCAAAATTAAAAAATACTGGCTAAATTTTTAAGGTGCTTGGTCATTTGCGGGGGCATGAGAATTGACTTGAACAAATTTAGGGCTTAATTTTGTTTATTCACAGAATATTTTTTCCAATTGAATGGGAAGTAATAGATGAGCCTTAAGTAAGATAATTTTTTCCAGAGATAAAGATTTTTATACTAAATTAATGTCTTGTCACATATTATATTACTCTAGTGTGAACATTTTATGATGCAGTTATTTCTTTCATTAAAAAAACCAGCATATTAAAAGTATCACTATATAAGAGAAGAAAAGTTATTTAAAAGTCTGATTATTTTTTAAAATAGAAAAAAATCCTTTAATATGGTATATGTCATGGTATTTCTAAAATGAACAATGCAACAAAGCAAAGTTTTTATTGGCATGGTATTTTTAAAATGACTGTTCTACAATTAGTTTTAAAGGTTGTGGTATTTAATATAATAGTACATGATCTATATAAGTGAAATAGCTTAAGAACTCTTTTAGCAGTATACTAATTATTAGTAATAATTCTGCTGCCAAATTTCCATTTTGTTGCAGAATATTTACATGAATTGCTAAATTATTAGAAACCTTCCAGAGATTCACTCAAATAAATGGTGACTAAAAACTGTGGGAGAATCAGAATTTCCATTTTGGAGGACGTTACACAATATTGAAAATTAGTTTAGTTCAAAATTGGAATGGAATTTCAAAATGATTTGCAAAATGGAACTTTTGGAAGGAAAAACTTCAGACTAGCCAAAATTGAAATTCTTTATTTTAATTTTTCTTTTAAATGTTAATTTTATAATACAAACTAACATAAATGTCAAGATGAAATATTTCAGCATGAAAAATGTAATATATCATAAACATCCAAATGGTTTGTTTTGACCTGTTAAAATGCTTTTCCTTTCCAAAACAAAATTTTCTCAAAATTAATGCATTCCTCTGGGAAATTTCGCGATAGAGAGAATGACATTTTCTGAAAGAAGAACGTTCCATAGCAAACTTTCAGCTTGTTGTGAGCAAAACAACAAAATGTCTAGAAAAGAGTAAGAGGCCATTACAAGTTAGGGTAACAATGCATCTGTATATTGTAATACTGATTGCTATCTAATAATAAACTAGATATAGATCAAGAGGCAAACTTTTACCCTGGCTTAAATGAAAAGTAAAACAAAACCAAAAACCTCTCATACACACATCTACCTTACTGATAATTTCCCCTCTTTTCTTTGTTGACCATTGCCAAGCCATATTAGTGCTGAAAAATAGTTCCAGGGCCCTAAGAATTTTTCTTTTCACCTTGTTTAAAGGTCTACTTTGCTATGCCATTATTATATACCACCTCATTTACCCCTCATCCCAACACAGCAGACAAATACTTACAAGAACTTTATTCATGATCTTTAAAAAAAAATGTTAATTTAAGAGGGCAATGTTTATATACTCTCCATCACATGATGGGGGAAAAAATAAAACAAGAAAACAAACACCCCAAACACAACTGTTGCAAAAAATAAATAAATAAAGTTTTCATCTATATTTCACCAAAAAAAATTTCCAGGCAGGTCTGCTGTAATAATCTCTGAGGTCAATTTAAAGGGTAATTTAATGCCAGGCAGATTAAAAGAAGTGATTCAAACTATGTAATTAAGGAATAAAGTTCCCACTAAGCTCTAAAATACTTACTTCTAACTGATGACTTCTCTGCTCAAAAGTCTTTGTGTAAGCTTCAAACTGAAATAAATTCACTCCATTTTTCACCTTTAAAAGATTCTTATTTTGAGAACCCTGTACTAGGTCCTCACAATTCATATAGGAGGCACCAAATAAAGTGGTATGTATGCTAAGGCTGAGGGGTTTTCTCACTGATTAGCAATTATAAGATCAGTGTGTCACATGAAAGCAGTTCTGTATCATAATAAAGCCTGGCTTGCTAGCTTTGTCCTAATCTTAACTATTAGCAGGAGACATGTCTCAAGTTGTCAGTAGTGAAAATATCATTGTCAGATTCCTTGTGCCAAATCCTACTTCCCCTTTGCATGACTATGGGCCCCTCTTCATGTTACACGTAAGGTGTGATTATCCAGGTAATCACACCTTGAGTTGTGGCCCAGCTACACATTCAAGTAATTACAAGTAATAAACTACAGTTATTCCACAAAAAATGTGTAATAATTTTATAGCCTGTTGTAGTCACACTGTTAATTGAACATGTGGCCAAGTGCTCCCCTCTGCCTGGGAGTCCCATCAACTGAGGAGATCCCAGCCACGAGGGTCTACCCCCAGTGCCAGCAGGGATCCTGGTTTTCTCTGATAAAAAAATCCCCAAAATTCAAGTTAAAAAAAGTAACCCAAAATTCACATTTTTTTATGATCAAAACGAAACACCATTATCTATCTATCTATCTAGATATAGATATATATAGCTAGCTAGCTAGATACCTATATCTATATTGATATCTATATCTATATACAGTTACATTTTTAACCTGAAAATTGGGGATTGTTTTTTTATCAAAGAAAACCAGGATCCCTGCTTATTAGCACATTTGAATCAGAGAATTATGGAACAGTACAGCTGAAGAACAAATAGTCCAGCCCTTTCCTTAATGCAGGATCATCCTGATGGGTCCTAGATATGTGTTTGTATAACCTGCTCTTAAAAGCTTTGAACAATGGAGATTCCACAACATTTGCATGTAGGCTGTTCCCATCAAGCACCCTCATGTTAACGAAGTTTTTCCTAATATCCAACCTAAATTTACCTTACTGCCATTTAAGGCCATTGCTCCTGGTCCTGCCACTTCACCTACAAAGGAAAGTGTATCACTGCCATTCCTGTATAACCATCCTTCAGGTATTTGAAGGTGGTTGTCAAATCGCCCATCATTTTTTTTTCTGCAGACTAAATAATCACAGTTCACTTCATCCAGACTTTCCTTGTAAGTCCTGTTTTTCAGACCCTTTATTATTTTATTGTTCTTCTCTGAACTCCTCCTAATTCAGCCATGTCCTTCTTGCAGTACAGTGCTCAAAAATGGACCCCATACTCCAGATGAGGCCTCACTAGTGCTGATTCATTTCATATACATCAGGGCTGGAAGGGACCTTGTCAAATCATCGGGTCCAGCCTCCTGCCCAAGGGGCAGGAAGTCAGCTAGGGTCAAAGGATCCCAGCAAGATAAGTGTCCAAATGTTTCTTAAAAGTGTCCGGAGTAGGTGCATGGGTCCAGAGTCCAAAAATCACTTCCCTTGACAAGCAGGTGACATCCCTATTAGTGCAGCCCAGTATACCTTTTTTTTTTCAACAAAAGGACATTGTTGGCTCATTGAGCTAGTGGTCCAGTTCCTTTTCTGTGGTACAGCAGCCTAGCCTTATCATTTGCACTTGTTCTATTTAATTTCATATGACCATTTCTCTACCTTATCAAGATCATTCTGCATCCCAGCCCTACCCTCCAGGGAGTCTGCAACTCCACCCAACTTGGTGTCACCTGCAAATTTGCTAAGCGTGCACTCAGTCCAATCTTCCAAATTATTCATGAAGATATTAAACAATACTGGACCCAAAACATACCCCTGAAGAACCACACTTGATACCTCCCCTCCCACCTAGACATTGAGCCATTGGTAACTACTCTTTGAGCACAAGGATCCAACCAGTTATGTATCTACCTTACATTGCTTTCATCTAGACTGCATTTGCTTAGCTCACTGATAAGCTTACATGATCTAAGGAATAAGGATAACTATTTATTTCTTTGGGGTCAGTGAGAAGTTTAAGAAAATAGAAGCCTCTGGTATTTTGTGATTTTCTAGATGTGTTTACTGCAGTGAGAATATAACAAGCCCTAGCATCAGTCATTCTTTTAAATCATCATGCTACTGGCTTCAGTTGACTGTCCTTTCCCTTTCATTAATCATCTCTCTCTAATTTGCAGTTCTTGGCTTCTGCTCTTACAATGGCTAGCTTACTTACATCAAAGAAAATAAGTACCGATTATTCATATAAGTATTGTTTCAGTCTATTGAAAGACTGTTCTTACTTTCTGCTCCAGTGCTAGATGCTTTTACTTTTCAGTTTATTTAAAGGATGTAACATTTCTGATGAACCAGCTTTACATTTAGCTAAACAATATTTCATATCTGAGATCCAGGTGACTTCATATCCTTAATAGTGTTTAATTTCCTTGGGTGCACATATACAATAAGAAGGAGTGAGGGCTCCTGTTACTTTAATAGGAAAAGAGCAGTGAGCAAGGCCTAAAATATGTGGCAGGCAGTTGAGCAAAGGCCAGGTGCTAAAGTTAGCAGCTCAAAGGTGACAGGGATAGGAGTGACTATCCTGAAGTAAGCTGCCAAGGGGCAGAATTCTAGGCAGTCAGGTAACTAAAGACTTCAAAACAGCTGGGTTGGCTGCAGCAGAGGGGAGCAAGCTTATTAGTGTACAAAGGAGATACCCCTGTGCCTGGTTCAGAGAACCAGATCAGGAACCAGAAAGGGTGACGCTCAGGTGGTTTATACTTTGGTCTCTGAGCCAGAGAAGGCAGTGTGGCCCTGGTATTTACTGAGGAAAG